GACTGATTTATGATGGTCCACCATAAAAAAACTGAAATTGTGTTGATGGTATGCTGAACTAACAGGAATTTCCGTTAAACCATCAAAGAAATGTATTGTTGCACCATTATGGAACATCACGAATTTCCATCTTAGTATCTTAGAAATCAGATGTTGGAACGATCATGAACTACCGTCATCCCAATGTAGGAATTCGGACTGATTTATAATGGTCCGACATAAATTTTTTTTTGTTTATTCCTGAGAACCAACAAGAATTCCCATTAAACCATCACAGAAACGTATGGTTTAAACCATCATGGACCATCACGGATTGTTGGTCAATAAGAATCAAATTTCTCTTGATGGTTAACCATCATAGTATTAAAGTAGCATCTTCCATCATGGAATGAGGGAAGTTTGTTTGCACGTAAAAAATAATCGCATAATGAAAAATGCTGGATGATGGTGACCATCAAATGATGTTGGGCCATCATGAATCGCACTGAAACCAACATAAATTATCAAAATTATTGATGGAACCATCAAGAATCGCACTGAAACTAACATAAATTATCAAAATTATTGATGGAACCATCAAGAATTTTGACTTGGGATTCCTTGCATTTTTTAAAAATGTTTCTGATCGAAATTGGGATTTTTCTTTCTTCTGTAGCATCGCATTACAACGTAAAAATCGCATTTTCTCCCATCATCTTAAACTCGGGTCTCTGAAGATACATAAACCGTACTTACTACCATTTACTCGAGCCTACACGAATAAAAAGCCTACTCGAACTCAACATCAGCAAATCAAGTATCGAAATTTATGTTAAGCTTGGTCCATTTCCATGTTAACCATTTCCATGTTAATCGCACAAAAGTGGCATAATGGCGATAATGCTGGGGAACAAATTTTTTTAACTTGCCTAATTCGAGTGTAGGGATTTTAAATCTGAAATTAGTTTTGTTCTTAAAGCACAGGTTTTTTAAAATGACTTATTTAGTCTATTTTTTCGTCGAAATGTACAATGTCAAAGACTTAATATAGAACAAGGAGTCGGTTAATGTTGCGACAAATCTCTAGAGGAGAATGGGCACATCATCAGGATTAAAATTGCTTGAAAATCCATATCGGAAATGTTGTCCTATGCAACTGGCAGCACTTCCCTTTAATGAACTTTTCAGAAGCACACGAATAAGCAGTTAATAATTGGGTAGCTCTCCTAGCAGCGTATGATGACATTTCCTGGCATGGGTTTCTAGGAAATTTTGAAACTAATTATACGCAAAATCTCCCCTAGAAGTTTTTCGCAACATTTACGTGATTCCCTGTTATATGTAATGTTTTTAAACTACATTTCTACAAAAAATATTCTAAAAATGTCATTGGAAAAAAAGTAACTGTTGCTTGGAGAGAGAAACATACTACAGATTTGAAATCAACGATACGAAAGTATCGAAGATCTGTTGAAAAATTCTCAGAAATGCAACAGAAAACAAAAAAACTGTTCCCATTGTTGTTTATGAAATTATATAGGTCCAGACTAAAACAATTTCATTAAAGTTCTAAACTGTTTTACTTTAAATTTTAAATACCTTTAAAATATTTATTTGACAAAGGTAAAGAAATTTATGTGCGTTGAATTGTTATAATTAAATTAATGTATTCAAATATATTCTAACAATCATGCGCCTAACCTTGAATGACGAGGAATTTTTGCATTATAAGTGGAATAATGCCAGAATTTTATTTTAAGCGGAATTTTAAATGTGGCCCATAAATTTATTAGGTTTCAGAAGAGATATTCAAAACTCAGTTTATTTTTGTTATTGGGGAAAAAGGTTATATTAGAATATTAACGAAGATGTGATAATTTTAATGTGCTTAGTAGAAGTATCTTTAGATAATATCTGTTGTTTTTAAGGTTTATATTTATAGACAATAAAATAAAATAATAGTTTTAAAAACTCTAGTTTTAGGTAGAATTAAAAGGAATAATTAAATATATTTCTTATACTTATAAAAAAACAAAAACGGATTACCTTGAATAGTTTTTGATCTAATGATCAGATCTTCAGGTTCTATGACTCAAACTTAATGGTTCAAGGGAGTAAACTCAAATATGCTAATTAATTAGCTCAGACAATATTTTAAGTTATGAAATCAGACACAAAAAACATACTTTCTCTGAATAAACATACCTTTATTTTAACGGATTCAGATTTCTGACCCTCAAAATGTAGGGGGTAGTCGCCAAGATGGTCCCAATAGCTTGGTCAGGAGGGCGGTCCTAAGTTTAAACCCCTTAATATTATTTTTACTTCTTGCGTATTTCACCTTATCTCGGGAATTTTTTAAGCGAATTAAAAAAAATTAACTCAATTGAAAAATTCGTTTATCCAAGGATAATTCCGTGCAAAAAATAACTTTTAGTAACTATATATTATTTTAATTAAGAATGGTCAAAAACTTTTTGAATTGTGAAGTGATTGAATTGTAATTTTTGCATCATTTTAAAGAATATAATTTTACATGGCATAGTAAAAAATGTGAACGAAATAGGACGTACAGTTAGTTCCTGAGAAATCTAAATTCGAAAAAGTCATATTTACGAAATTCGATTTCTCAGGAACTATTCGATTGATTTCACTCAAATTTTGTATTTCGCCTTGTAAATTCAATTCCTTAAAACGATGTAAAAAATTTTATACCTTACAATTTAAATTTTTTTTGACCTATTCTTGATTAAAATAATACATATTTGGTAAAAGTTATTTTTTTGCTCGGAATTACCTTTAGATAAACGAAATTTATAATTGAGTGTTAAACTTTCTTAATTCACTTAAAAAATTCTCAAGATTTAACGAAATACGCAAAAAGGTAAAATTAACATTAAGAGTTTCAAACTTTGGAGAGCATTCTTAGCCAAACTATGGGTATCATATTTCCTATATGTGGCTATCCCCTATATTTTGGGGATCAGAAATCCGAATCCGTAAAAAAAATCAATAAATGAAAAAAAATAGTTAGGTTTATTCAGAGAATGTACGTTTTTGCTTCTGATTTCGTAACTTAAAATATCGTCTGCACATATTAATTAGCATATTTGAGATCACTCCCTCGATCCATTAAGATTGAGTCATAGAACGTGAAATTCCGATCATTAGAATCAAAATTTATTCAGGATATCTTTTTTGCTCACTGTTCATCAATTTCGAAAAACCCGTGGGGAAAGGGAAATGTTCAGTGGTTATAAAGTTTGTGACGAAAAAGATGCGCTATGTTTTATGCCCGACACAAAATTTTTTTCTTCTTTTCAACCAGAGTGAAAAGCGTAATTTTTAAAGTTATTATTTTATTTTATTCTTCTGTTGCTTTGCATCTATTAGTTTGCTTACGTTGAAAAATGGTCGAAATTTATGTTGTTAATAAAATAGTGATGTGTTTTGCTTGCACTAGTGAGATAAATAATTGTAACATACGAGTACATTAAGATGAGGAATATTGAATAGAAAAATATAGTTCTCAGTATAATAGATTCTTTATCGATTTTTTCTGATAAAACTGTACCATTAAGATTCTGGAATCAGAACTTTTTTAAAGGTAATTTTGTAATAAACATTTTACTTGTTTTCAGATTTTTGAAAAATATCTTTGCTTTTTCGTTATCAATGTTTCAGAGTTTTTTTTTTTCAAACGCACCCACACTGATTGTCACCGATAAAAAAATAATTTTTAGAAATTAAATTCAGTTAAACACTGATAAAAAATTAATTTTTAAATATTATAATGCAGACCAATGTACAGTAGTAAATTAACTGCTCAAAATTACCATCCACGTAATTTAATTGCTTTACTTTTTTGAGAAAAGATTCATAGAGATTGCAAAAGTAATCAAGCACCAGTTATCATCTATTAAAGCAACGTCTTTACCTTTGTGAGTATTTGAAAGGTAAGTGATGCTAGTAGATACTGCATCATATAAAAGATAGTCAATAGCAAAAAATAAAAAAAAAAAAATTTAAATATTTAAACTCAAATCCTAGATGGATGAAGTGGTATCTTAAAACAGTTCTAGAGTTATAGAGAAATACCCCAAAATAGAAATTAGCATTAAATGGCCCAGGCATTTGACCGTTCACTTTACAGATTGCGGCCCCCCTATTTTAAATATAAAAAATCCTAACCCATCGAAAAAAAGCATAATACAGAGAATAAAATACTTTGTGACCGATTTTATAACGAAAAATAGTTTCTGCAAAAAGTAGTTAGCATATTTAATATTAGACTTTTAAACCGCTCAGTTTGCATCTCAGCTCATTGAAAATCCGATTACTATTAAGATGTTTCGTTTCTTATTTTGCGCACTGTATTCCATTGTGTGACAGAGTTTGTTTCATTCATTTCGATGCAACTTGAGCATATACAACGGAGTAGTCACGTATTTTTTAGCGTAATTTTTCATCAAATGAGAGCTTTCAAAAAAACTTGATCATTTTTTTTTATTTAAATAAGGTTTATACACTGAATAAGTACTCATATTATTTTCATTTTTTATGCTTTTGAGTCTGATACAAAATTTTGAATTCAAAGAATCAAAAACTCGCTATATTATCAGTTGCCTTTTTACTATCAATTTGTAAATTATAGTTAAATCTAACCCAGAAAAAACATTAGGTACTGAATTATTTACTTTTTGCTGTTTAATTTCTGACTTTTAGTAAACTGTCTTAACATAAAAACAGAATTAAAAAATTTAACAAAACAAATTTAATAAAAAAAATTCAAAAGCCTGCAACTAGATTAAATGACTTCTAATCATAAGTTGAAAAGATTCTTATAAACACTTTAAAAAATAAAGCTTTTTCTCCAATGATAATATTTTCCCTTTAAATTTCGATTGTATTCCTTAATACTTATTATCTAATTTCTAAGAGTAGGTAAAGGACTCTCTTAGTATATAGTTCAAATAATTAAATCAGAATTCATTTATATTATTATTTTGATTCATTTTATTTCAATAAAAATATTCCAAAGAGTCATACATTTCGTCTATTGTTAGATCAAGCTCCTCTACTGTGTTTTTTATGATTTCCCACGCATACAGTATTTCTTTTTCAGTGCTTTCTTCATAATTTACACTAAAACGAATAATATAGGTATTCCCTAAAGATGCAGGAACCATAAATAGCATCCTTGAAGCATCTATTGCAGCCAATATCTTCGCATTTATTTCGTTAGTGCCTTTAAATCGAAAACACACTAGGCCAAAGTTAACATCATTCATAACCTCAAAGCGATCGTCTCCTCGAACTAATTCTTCAAATTTCTTCGCCAACTGAATATGATTCCTTACGTATTTCTGTATACCTTCTACGCCAAACTTACGAATTGTCACCCACATTTTTAAAGCTCTAAATCTTCTTCTGTCATCAGTGCCCCACTGATAGAAATCTATCATTTGAGTATCTGGATGAACGTTCATAGGTGTTGATTTAGGACATAAACTCTGAACATATTGAAACCTATCTTCCACCCATATTATCGAACAATCAAGGTGCATTAACATCCACTTACTTGGATTCATATTTATTGATGATGCATATTCGAAACCTTTAGCCAAATGTCGGATTTCTGGACATACCAAAGCATTGGCACCATATGCTCCGTCAATATGTAACCACAGACCATATTTTACACAAATTGAACCTAGTTCATCGAATTTATCGATTGCTGTAGATGATGTTGTTCCGAAAGTACCAACAACAAAGAAAGGATTCAGTCCGCCTTCCAGATCTTTTTTTACTGCTTCTTCAAGATCTTTTCCTCGAAATCGGCACCTGTCATCTGTATCAAGAATTCTGAGAGTGACCATTGCTATTAAACAAGCCTTTTCAACGCATGAATGGGCTTCTTTAGAGCAATATGCAACTAATGACGTCAGCAACTCACCATCCGGGGTAGAAGGTTGCTTCTTTTTTAGTTCATGCAGAGCTGCCCATTGAGCTGCACAAACAGTCATAAGGATGCATTCACTTGCAGAACCTCGCAAACAGCCTCCACCTTGACGACCTTCTTTATGGAACAAAAATTTCTCTGGTAACCCTAACAGTTTTGCAACCCAATCTATAATAATAATTTCAAGTTCAGTACTTGCCGGAGAAGTGAACCATGTACTCCCTGAACAACCGAAAGCTCCTGTTATTACTGTTCCGAGAAGAGACGGCAATGAGGCACCCATAGGAAAATAGGAGTAAAAATGAGGATGAACCCAATGAGTAAGTCCAGGTATAATGATTTTGTCCACGTCTTCCATTATGTGTTTCCATTTTTCACCTTTCATGGGTGCTTTTAAAGGGACAAAGTTTCTCATGTATCCTGGCTTTTCTTTTGTTACGACAGGTCTCTTAGAAATTGTTGCTCTGTAATTAGCTATATAGTCAATCATTTCTTCACCAGCTTTTTTAAATTCTTCAGAATTCATCATGAATATTTGCAATACCTTGTTTTTATTTCTAACTTAAAATTAAGACTTTGTTTTGATTGTTTGTGGTCTTTTTAAAATTTCTGACCATAATAAGTGCCTTTGCCAACCCACTAAAATGAATGTTTTATATAATTAATATTTTAGGTTAAATTTTTTTCTTTTTTAAATTAATAGGGATGCCCAAGCCAGAGTCTGAACTAAATCAGTGTTCCACTATCATTCAATCAATTTTCGTTTGCACGATTCCTAATGTACGATTCACATTCCTATTCCAATAAAAACATATTCCTATTGGTTGCATCTGAAACTGATTCATCATTGATGGATTTTCAGTGGACATATAAGTTAAGCGACATCAGCTTAAACATCTCTCGCAACAGTGTTTTTGGACGAATTGCACATCCAGAATTCTTGTCTTATTTATTATTTTATTTAATATAAACGACACTGAACAGCCGACTCAATTCTGAGTCTACGACAAATGATGTTCAAGTGCGAAGCTCAACTTGAATCCAACCCAAAAAACAAGGAAACTCTTAGATCAGGAATTGGGATAAACAAGCCTCCGAAGAGGAATTTTTGATGGAACTAAACTGCATTTGCGTTATATTGAGCGGGAAACCACAAAAAACAAGTATCTAACTTTTCTGAAATTTAGTTGTAAGTAAATATTCTTAAGTTAATAGTTACCTAATATTACCTATGACAAAGACGATAACTGGTATTACAACAGTCTAATACAATCCAATCAAAGTATGAAATTGATTTAAAAAAATTTTCGGATAAAAACTTTAAAATGATAAGTTAAAATGGAAAAGCGCTAAAAGCAGCTCAAACCAAATTTGTTTTAAGTAAGCAATTTAAATAAAAGTTAGAAACCAAAAAGAAGCAAAACGAAATTTTAAAGATATGCATGTCAGCAAAAACAGCTTTTCATCAATGTGGTATAAGACAGTGTGTTCCCTGATGAAGTGCTGTTTTTGCTAACATACATATCTTTAAAATTTCGTATGCTGTATTGCTGCATGCTGTTTCGTATTTTGCTTGTTTTTGGTCTCTAACTTTTAATATAAATTGGTCTAACACAATATTATTTAGCTGTTAACAAACTGTTATTTATTTAGTGTTAACAGTTAACACTAAATTAACACACGCACGTGCGCAAGCAGAGAGAGAGATAAAATAAAGATTTATGAAAAGAAAAGAAAAAAGTAATTAAAAATAAAAAAAAAATATTTAAAATTTTTTATTATTTAAAAAAAATAAAAAGCCGAAAACAAAATGTAAAGATATAATCTAGTCATTAGCTCACACAATTATATCCGCAAAAAAGAGTGCTTTCAAATATTGTATTCATATAGCAAAGCAAAAATATCAATACAATAGTGTGAGGGGCCTCCAAAAAATTTAAACGAAAAAAGGACTAGTTAAACAAAAAATACAAATTACAGCAATCAAGCAAAAGTTGCTAAATTATTTTTCATTAAAGGTTAATAATGTCTCTAAGACCATCAATATAAAAAAATTTAAAATTAAAATACAACCTTATTAATTATAATCTTTTAACTATCCAATATAATATTATTACCTTGGGCACATCCAATTCAGGTCAATCCAAGGTGCTTTGGTACTTCAGTAAGAGCGCACCATAAAAAGATCTCTCCAAACTCTATTTGCGCTTCTATTTTCATATTTTGTAATCTGGCAAACTTGTTACGAAAGTAATTTAAATCGTTTTAAAAGATGCCGTTACGTGTAAGTACATTTGAATATATTTTCCCTTTTTTGCTTAACTAGTTCTTTTTTTTTGTTTCATTTTTTTTTTGGTGTTCTTCAAACTATTGTATTGATAGATTTTGCTTTAGCTATATGAATACAATGTTAAACATTGTAACTCCATGAAGAAATTAATGGAACCAATGATTGTCTCTTATTATTGAAAAAAACAAACAAAAAAAAACATCATTTCAGGTAAAAGCTAGGCAGTGTTTATACATTGCAATGACATTTGCTTTAAAAAAACATCACTGTAGGATAATTCTGTACCGGTCTGTAATGGTCTTAATGTTTCTGTAATGGTCATTAACGTTAAAATAAATCATCCATTTAAAGTGTGAAAGTTTCACCCACGTCTGAGTGAGACTTATTTTGCAAGACGGTTAAAATACGAAATTACCAAAAAAAAAAAAAATTTTTTTTTCCTTCTCACAAAAAAGAAAATATAAAGAGAAATTTTTTTCCGTCAAATTTATAGGATAATTTTAAGTTTGACAGAAATCATTGAATTCAAAATCAGGTAGCTAATTAAATATACTGTATATTTTAGGTTGACAAAAGCATTTTTATATAATTATATTTATATCCCTAAGCACTTCAACCAATGTGAAGATAAACAAGAATACAATAAAAGTTATTATAATTTTTAAAAAAAAACAATCCTTCAAAATGAATTCGGACGAGTTTAAAGAAAAAGGTTTTGAAATAATAGAATATATATCAAACTATTTTGATACTGTTGCAAAGAGACCTGTTGTAACGACAGAAAGACCTGGTTTCATGAAAGAGCTTGTTCCTCTTAAAGCTCCAGAAAAAGCAGATGAATGGGAAGACATAATGAAAGATATGGATGATGTTATAATTCCCGGATTTTCCCATTGGGCCCATCCACACTTTCATGCGTATTTTCCAACTGGTTGTTCTCTAGCATCAGTTCTTGGTACCCTATTAACAGGAGCTTTCGGTTGCTCTGGAAGTTCGTGGTCCACAAGTCCAGCCAGCACTGAACTTGAGGTAATCATTTTAGAATGGCTTGCTAAAGCGTTTGATTTACCAAAGAAGTTTTTGTTCTATGAAAAGGGAAGTAAAGGTGGTGGATGCTTGCAAGGCTCAGCCAGTGAATGTACTCTTTTAGTTTGTTTGGCTGCACAAAAGATTGCTTTGCAGAAGTTAAAAAAAGAAAACCCTTCGATTCCTGAGGGCGAACTATTAGCCTCGCTTGTAGCCTATTGCTCTAAAGAAGCGCATTCAAGCGTCGAAAAGGCTTGTTTAATAGCCATGGTTACTGTAAGAATTATCGACACAGATGAGAGATTCAGGTTTCGTGGTAAAGAACTTGAAGAAGCAGTAAAACAAGATTTGAAAGACGGACTTCATCCTTTTCTGGTCGTTGGTACTTTAGGAACAACAGCATCCACGTCTGTCGATAAATTTGATGAGATAGGGCCAATTTGTAAGAAGTATGAGCTTTGGTTACATGTTGACGGAGCGTACGGAATAAGTGCTTTAATTTGCCCGGAATTTCGCCATTTTGCAAATGGATTGGAATATGCATCATCGATAGCTGTGAATCCACACAAGTGGCTTTTGATGCACTTTGATTGTTCTTCCTTCTGGATTGATGATCGATGCAGATTTGTTAAAGCTTTGTCTGCAGATCCAGATTCCCTCTCTGCTGATGCAGACGCTAAAATAATTGATTTTTCTCACTGGGGAACAGGAGACAGAATAAGATTTAGAGCACTTAAAATGTGGGTGGTGATGCGCACATATGGGGTGACGGGAATGCAAAAATTCATAAGAAATCATGTCCAACTGGCGAAATATTTTGAAGAGCTGGTACAGAAAGACCATCGTTTTGAAGTTATTAATGATGTTAATTTTGGTACTATTTGTTTCCGACTTAAATCCTCCAATGATGCCAATGCAAAATTATTAGCATCTATAGTTCAGACAAGAAAGTTATTTATGGTCCCGGCATCATTGGGAGGATCTTATGTTATTCGTTTTAACATTAGTTATGAACATATGTCAGAAAACGATATTTTTAATGCATGGGAAATTATAACAACTCATTTTGAAGATTTAAATAATATTTAAAAGTTGAACACCAAGAATCAAAAGGCTGAATTAAAATTTATGTTTCTTAACCATGGTAACATACATTGTTAATATTCTTATGCATACATTCTTGATATTCTTTTAAAGTTATCTCTGTAGCATAAGTTATTACCAAATTATAATAAAAGTTTGGGAATGGTGATGATGACGATTTATGTATAATGGTAATAAATTAACGTAGTAATGTCTTAATTCAATGCAGTTTCAATTTTTTTTATCACATTAAGTAGATTTATATTTCTTATACGTTTATTAGACAATATTTTGTTCAGTTATTAAGTAATTTTGTTTCGTTTGTGCTTTGAATGTTGCAGAAGTAAAAATATACAAAGTCAGCTATACTAATAATAATCATACTGAGTAGGTTCCTTTGTAGTTGAGCTAAGTAACCTTAACAGTTGAGCCAGCTTCTTAGTACTTTATTGATTGGCCAGTTTCTTAGTCGATTGACAGCGGAAGAAATTAGGGAAAAGCTGGAAATATTTTTTAAGAATGGGGTACATGATACCAATAGGGATGGGGTACTAACTAATACGGATAACTGAAATGAGCTTTCTTCACCATCTTGAATCTTCTGAGAAGAGAAGGGTTAAACCATAACCTACTAGAAGGTTACGGTTTAACCCTTCTAGGTGGTTCTACTCTAGGTGGTTATGGTTAAACCCGGGTAAGACTTGAACTATCTAGACTAGTGCGGTATTGTTTCTTACCTATTTTTTACGCTAAATTAAAAGATACTAAAGAATCAATAGGACTAATAGTAAAGAATATAATAAAGGATTTAGTAAGTATGAAGTTAAACAAAATTGCACAATTTTTGATTAAAATCATTCAAGCGTCTAAAATATCTATCGACACAAATGAGATAATATGTTCCATTCATTTTTTACGTTGCAGTATAAGTACAAATCAACAACAATAGGACAAACACTTCAAATGTTTTTGAGGTTTTTACTTTTAAAAATTACGGTTTTGTACATTCCGTACTTTACATGGATAAAAACGTTAAAATCAAAAACCAAAAAAGTGGTTTAAAATTACAATAAGGTTAATTAAAATTATTATTAAATCAAAAGTTTGATAAAAATATCGAGAAACATTAAAATGGTTAAAATAATCCAGTGAAGTATTAGGTACAATTAGCAAAAATGTCACTGATTATTGATAACGGCGAACATATGGAAGTTTAGATTTATCACAATCAAACAACGCTGAGTTTAAACTTTATTAAATAACTAATTTATTTTTATTTCAATTTACCTTTGTTATTACAGCATGTAATTTTATTGAAATTCGTATAAAAATTTAGATCTAAGAAATTACCATAAAGTGATGAGTTTAACAGGCCAAGTTAATCATCACAGATTTTTTAAAAAAAAATATTTTACTTGGATGTTTAGATTTTGAAAAAAATTCTTTTTTTGAGATTGAAGATTTTCTTACATTTAACAAAATAGTTTCTTTGCCCACTCTTTATTCAAATGATGTATTACGTCATACACGTTTTTTTTTATCAATAAATATACCGAAAGTCGTATAAAGCCTTTCATTTATTTCTTAAATTATATATTTTTATTAAATATATAATTTAAAAATTATATATTTTTAATTAAAATTCCTTCAAAATATAAATAAAATGATTTATTTTTCTAATACAAATTTATAAATAATTTCGCTGAAAATTTTAAGCTAATTTTTAAGTATTACAAAATTTATAAATTAGATAATTTAATAAAATTAAAAATTAAATTCTTTAATTAGTATACATAAATTTATACATTACTAGACTGTGTTTTTATTAGTATGTAATAAATTTAGAATATATATATTTCTTAAAAATTATAATTATTTTTTTTTAAGTTTTAATTTTAATTTTTATTTGCATTTTTAAAAATTTTTAATTTCTTATTAATTTTCTTTAAATATGCGTTGTAAACAGCAAAATATATCCACCTAACATCACAGGCCGAGTAAGTTTAATTTCATTCTATTGTTTAAACAATCAAAAAGAGAGACAGAAAATGAACAATACTTTTAGTAATATTGTTTTGTCTGGATTAATGATTAAAGCAAACACTTATATAGACAGCAAATAAAGGAAACTGAGATAAATAAATAAATAAAATAAAAAAAATATCCAAACATCATAGAAGATCTAAGAGCCATTCCCTTGAATATTGTTACCTTGCCACCTGCGTGACGAAAGTGTCCGTTATGCGGATGACGTCACACGTACGTGAAGTGAAAAAATTTTGAAAATTCTCGTCCAGACTCTTCTTTTATTGGAACATATCGTGCTGTGCGAAAAGGTGGGAAAAGCAATACTTTCGCTTTTGCGGTTTTTCTTTAGATTCTCTTTCGTTTTATTGAAAAATGTCTTATGGTGGAGGTGGTTTATGCTTTTTAATTCGAATTCCGACGGAAGATTATGAGAATGATTTGCTGGATGGACGTAGGATATTAATTACTCCCTCACCCACAAATGGTAAGTAAATTGATACTACCTAAATTTTATTAATAAATTTAATTAAATTTTATTAATAAATGTAATTAAATTTTATTAATAAATTTAATTAAATTTTATTAATAAATTTAATTAAATTTTATTAAATATTAATTAATATTTTATTAATTAATATTTTAATAAAAAATTAAATAAATTTTTTTTGAAAATTATTTGTTTTTGTATTATTTATTTTTTAATCAATACTTTATTCAGTTTTAAAAATATTAAATGGTAAATAAAGTATTAATTAAAATTTGAACATCAACAATTAATTAATTAACTAATACTTAATAAATTATTAAATTGCAATTATTAATGTTTTAATTATTTAATTGATTAATTATTTAATTGATTAATTATTACTTGATTTATAGCTTTACATATTTTATTAATTTACTGTGAGTGAAATTTAGTAGATTATACAAAACAAATGAAATAAAATAAAAATATAAAAATATGACCACCGAAGCCGACGTCTTCAGGGGGTATCGGCCCCGGTAGCCATTAAAAACAAAACCATTTCTATTTGAGGGAGAAGCAAAAGCTTAAAATATCTCCCTCAGTACCCCTAAGGTTTTGTATAGAGGTCCAGGAAAAACAAGATACATTCAAAAGAATAAACAAATTACGAAAAGAAAATCAATAAAAATCATCAGAAAATTAAAAACTCACAGTCACAGGTCAAGAATCAACTTCAAAAGCGGAGGAAAAGAAAACACTA